GTTGATGCTGATCAAGAATATATATACTTTATAGGTTCGGAAACGTCTCCTTCACTGCGTTGCAAACTTCTGACTGAAATTATAATACCCTGCAAGGGTATAAAAACCAAAGACATCCAGCAATTAGCGGATGTAATGGAATTTTTAGAGCAGCGGCTGAGTTCCACTAGCTCTGTAAGGGAAGAAAAACCTGTCAATAGAAATTTTAATTTTTCAAAAAGTTTTGCCAAAAATAATTATGTTTCGAAAATAAACGAATTTTTAAACATGAATGAAGTGCCACATCTGCAAAATGATGGGTCATATTGTAACGCAGTGCCACAAATTTAAGGGTATGAATCCCACAGAACGACTAGAAGTCGTAAGAAACGTACAATTATGTACAAGGTGCCTTAAGCATCCTGACATCAGAAGATGTACCAGCGAAAATTTATGTTCGCTGTGTAATAGAAGGCATCATTCAATGCTGCATATTGCATATTCTCAAAATAGGGAAAATGTCAACACCTGCGTGACTTCAACTCAGGCGTTGCTTGCGACCGCAAGAATCAAAGTAAAATCGGTAAATGGCGATTTTAAAAATTTAAGAGCTCTGATATATAGTGGATCCGAAAGCACTATCATGTCAGAGGAGGCAGCTCAAATTTTAAAGCTGCCTCGAATAAAAGCAAAAACAGAAATTAGTGGAATTTTTCATCAACAGATACATGTGTGTCAAAACATAAAATTAAATTACTTATCGACGACCCTACATCGAAAAAGAAAATAATAACCGAGGCAAGAATATTGCCCAAATTAATGAAGGCCCTACCAATAAGTAAGATAGAGGTAGGATAGTCCAAATGGCAAAACTTTATATTAGCTGACCCGGACTTTAATAAGCCAGGACGAGTTGACGTAATTATTGGAGCGGATTTATATACGCATATCATGAAGAGAGGTTTGGCAAAAACTTATGGTTTGCTAGGTCAGAATACTAAGTTTGGTTGGATTATCTCTGGGAGAACTAAGTCCAAGAGCACTCAGTCAATAGGGAAAAATAATTCTATAAAAACCACAATTTGTAGATATATTGTAAAGATTCCTGTTAAAGATAAAACATTAGTAGAAGAATCAAAGCCACAAGCAATGGCAAAAGTTAGAAAATTTGAGCAAAAATTCAAAAAGAGAGGTAAATGGAAAAGGAATATGCCCCATATAGAAAAGGGTTAAGTGTGCATCACATATTGGGTCATACCCCTTTAATCATATGTATTTGAATTTTTATTGTATCTTTTGAGAAACTGATAAACTAAAATCCTACACTTGCTAGCCCTTGGCAGAATGTTCACACATGAACATGAAATTATGTTTGTAATTTGAATTGAATTGTATTTGTGAAATTTAATAATTAAAATGAAATTAAAAGAAATGTAAATGTAATTGTATATTAAGCCATGATACGGAGGCCGTTGCAAAATGTTAGTTGCAAAATATATCAAATAAATAAATACAGTCCACTTAAGTTTTTATTGCAACTACTTTAAATGTACACCCACACCTTGCTGGCCCTTGGCAGAATGTTCAAACATGAACACGGTTATATATAAGAAGCATCTGTTAGCGATTAAGTCCCGGCCACAGTGCACTGTCTAGCACTTGTGTGCATAGCTATTTGAAACCGCCACTTGAGCCTATGTAACAAGTAACCCGAAGTATGACCTCCTGTGAGCGGTCTGGGTTTGTTTAAGATATGTGCTATCGCTTTGACAATGAGTACCCTTATCTCACTTAGAATATTTCTCACGATCGGGAACTGTACGATGCGTGGGTCTAGAACTAAGATCTACAATGTATATTCTCATGTTAGCTATATAAGGTAGGGTTTGAATGAAATAAAATCAGTTTGAAATATTAACTCAGCAAATGAAGACTTCTCATTTATTTGGAATGCTCTTTCAACACCCAAACCGATGTTATCTTTACAGATTTCAGCAAAGCCTTCGATTCGGTGAATTATCAGTTACTGCTGAAGAAACTTTGTCTTTTGGGTTTTCCAGTTACTTTGATCAAGTGGATTTCTACTTATTTGTCGAACCGTACTCAAAGAGTTGCATTCAAGGGTTCATTCTCAAACTTTGTTCACGTGGCTTCTGGTGTTCCTCAAGGGAGCCACCTCGGTCCTCTTCTATTTGGCATTTTTATAAATGATCTGCCCCAAGTTATTCTCCACTCTTTTGTCATGATGTACGCTGATGACGTTCAACAATGTTTGCCTCTTGTGAATCCTGACTCTCCTCAGCTTTTACAAGCTGATTTAAACAACATGTTGTCCTTGTGCACTCACAATTTATTGTTTCTTAAAAACTCTAAATATAAGTACATGTCGTTTTACCGAAGATATTGTTCCCATGCTAACTATTTCTTAGGCACGAGTGTTCTTGAACGTATCCATTCTGTAACGGATCTTGGTGTTCTATTTACCCATAATTTGAGCTTCACCGATCACATCGGTATAATTGTTGGTAAAGCAAAGTGTGTCTTTGCTTTCATAAAACGATGGTCTAAGGAATTCGATGATCCCTACACATATATCTCTGGTTCGGCCCATACTCGAATATTGTTCGTGTGTATGGTCCCCCCAATACGCAAAGTATCAGGACCTTATCGAATCGGTACAGAAGCAATTCCTTTTGTTCGCTCTTCGGGTTCTAGACTGGGACCCACATCGCCACCTTCCTCATTATGCCGACAGACTACGCCTTCTGGACCTGCCCTCTCTTAAGGATCGTCGGACCTGCCATGGCGTGATAATCCTGCATAAACTAATAAATGGATATATTTTTTCCAGCAATCTTCTAGGCCATCACGTTACTTTCGGCCTATAGCTTTGGATATTTGTAAAACTAATTTCGAGGTACACGATCCTTTTCGCGTTTTATGTTCGCTTTACAACGACATGTACTCTCTGTTATATTTTGAAATGTCATTAGACTTTAACAAAAATAATATTTTAAGACACCTATCCTTGCCTCTGACCACCTGATGTGAGTCGGAGCATATCAATAAAAAACACTCCTTATCCGGTCTGAGGTAAGGATATGCATTTTAAATGGCAGATATTTGCTTTTCTTAATAAATAAATAAATAATTAAATAAATAAATAAATAAAAAAATAAATGTACGCCGTTTGACTGTCTACGAACAAATTGACCGCCTCATGTGGACGGTTTATGCTCTGCGCAAGCTCTGCTGCTTTCCTGATTCCGAATACTTTCGCGGATTCTACTATGCCCGGAGGTGTCACGATAGTCTCCTTGAACTTTCCCGTTAGTGTTCCGGCGGTTCCTGAAGACAGGTTGTTTTTAAGAGTTTTCGAAAGGGTATTGAAACCTTATATAATTATGATCTGAGAAGAATGGTCTCTCCAAGACTCTCCATTCTGATACCGAAGTACCTTGTCCCCTTACAAAAGTAAGATCTAGCACGTTTAAGGAGGTGGGTTCTACAAAGGTGTGCCCCTCCCCCACGTTTGCTATACTTAGGTTGGTTGAGAGTATAAAGTCTAAGAGTGTCTTACCTCTGTTGTTTATACCGGGGCTCCTACATACGCAGTGGTGCGCGTTGGCGACTGCACCCACGAGCAGTTGCTGGTCCTTCGGGCTTGCTTCTACCAGGCTCATGAGTACTTCTGGTGAGGCCGTCCTGTCGTGTGCCATGTAGCAGGAAGCTACCAAAAGCCGCTTTTTCCCACTCTCTAGCATCACCACGGTCAGGTCATCAGAACTGTAATGAGATATAATCTTAGCGGCTAGACCCTTCCGTACAAGTACGGCGGTTCTATTCCTGCTTACCATTGGTGGATAGAGCAAATTGTAATTTGCGGACTTCAGTCCGGCGATGGCATTGCCTGAGGCGATCCATGGCTCCTGGACCAAAGCTATGTCGGCGGATCCTTGCTCCATGGCGACCTTGTTGTCCTTGTTGTCTCCTTTATCGGACTGCCCAGGGAATGACGCTGGATTCCCTGGGCAGCTTCCACGATGGTTTCCTGACCTAGGTCTCCACCACCCCTGCCTTCAGTGTGCGAACATCCTTATCGCCCATGCCCCACGATATCTTCCCGTATATGCCTCCTTGTTTATCTGTAGGACTGCACTTTGCCCCCCTCCTTGGGTGATGGGGTCGTAACTTCCAGTCCAATTGCAGTCCGCGGTTTGTATATCCGGATTCTGACGCTGCAACAACTTCAGCACCCGGTCCCCTTGGATTGCGATGGGGAAGAGTAACTTCGCTCCCTGTCCATCACCTCCAGCTTGACCCCCTACCACAGCGCCTGCAATTGGCAGACCGCTTGCGTCAGCCACTTTCTCGTCGGGTCATCCATGCACTTCATGATTTTGACACCATTTAGCCAGCCAGCACTATTAAAGGTGGGCGAGAGCTTCGGGATCTTCCTCCATCCGTGGATACAATGACCCAACGAGTCGCGCATGCACCATCTTCCACCGCGGCTCGCAAAGCAAACCATAGTTTCTTATACCTCAGGTTTTGAGGAAAAAACCCTTAGAAAAAGTATATTCCGAGTCTTGGTTCTGGAATTTTTTTTTAATTTTGTCAGTCTGCGTAGTACATATATTAAAAGAATAATTGATTTTGTATATTTAGTTGCCATATTACCTAGATTACAAAAATTTGTTTGTTTAATTAAATTATATAGGAGGGTACGTTGGCGGGCTCGTGGTAAATTCGCTGAGAGTCGACAACTAGAATTACAGTTTAAAGACTTTTAACAATAATTCATAAATAAAATTATTATAAAACAAAGAAACATATATTTTACGGAATGCGTCAATGCAAACTGTTAGTATATGTGATCTGGAGACGGCAGCCGAAAAAACACCAAAGAAAAGGTAATGGGATTTGATTTCATCAACTGACCTCGAGCCGGTCAACGCACCCTACATATGTACGAGGAAAAGGTACCTAAACTCATCAATAAAATTTTTAATGTTTTACAGGCAATGCGTGCATTCATTGAATCCAACTTTAAGCTGCTCGATATAGATAGTGATGGTATTGTTGGCGTAAAGGAATACCGCTACAACTGTATAACTAGAGTAGCCATCGACGATATTGCACCTATTGACAAAGCATTCGAAACACTGTTAAACGTGAGTTGCTATCAATAATTTATACTTGCAAATAACTATTTAATCTTCTTATTTGCAGGATGAAGATCGAAAACGTGGTGGGCTATCACTAGATCGTTATAAAGAACTTTATGGTCAATTTTTGGGCAATACAGCCGATAATCATCCAGCGGTGAATCTGTTTGGACCATTATAAATATTTTCTTACATTTAATTGTCTTCGCTGTTGTTCAACTACTATTTTATTTAGACTTATTTGTAATTACTATGACTTTAAATTTATTACCATATAGATATAAAACATTCAAATCATTTTGTGTAGAATCGTCAGATGAACAGTTCGTTAATTTTAAAGTTTTATAATTAGTAAGTTATATTTGCTCTCAGAAGTGTAAAATAAGTTAAGATGTTGATTCGCTCTCCTGAAATGGCTCTTAAGTAATGCACCTCTCTCAATTCCTGCAAGATTTCGATTACTTGTTATGTTATATAAAAGTTGCAATAAACATAATATACAAAATAAATGAATATTTAAACTATAGCTAGGCAAATTATATTTTTGTATTCTATTGTGACTTCCATTATTGTTTTTGTTGGGGCCTGATACGTCGCGATTCCTAATTAAAGTCTTTGGACTTTATTTTCAGATTAAAAACTTACCTTAATAAGTTAGGTTCTTTTATTATATAGTGTTGTTGAACTATGGATATTTCTGCCTTCCTTGCTCAGAATGAGCATTCTGAAAACTTTTCTGCACGTGGCTTCGATGGCGTTTGGGTTTTCATCTGGTCGTCTTTAACGTTTTTGAGCTGATCTCAGTGGTGAACAACGGCTTGCCCATACATTGAGGGCCTTTGCTAACGACGTGTCGATGCGACTCACAGAACTTGAAAGATCCACCAATATTCACATATCGAACATTTTGTGATCGGATCCAATCCAATCCAGGAAGGCATAAGATAATTAGTAAACATGTCAGTCAGATTAATGAAAGAGAAATCATGATTGTTGGGGCGTCTATTGGAAGGCGAATTTCTTCACCACTATCCTTTGATGACGTCACGTGTAATGAGAACGCCTGCCAATCTGACTTTGACGTCTGCGCCAGGACGAACCAGTTGGATCATAAAACCATGTCACCTGAGACTTTCTTTAATCTCAGGCTAACACTGCAAGGAGTGGCCCACTGATTGGAAAATGCCCGGGGCTAAGAACCCAAAGTCAGTGAGATTTTCGGACATTGGAGAATTAGGCCTTTATTTCAAACAGGCCACAATCTTAGCCAAGTGGGTAGCCAATTTTTGGAAAGTAAACAATTCTGCGGATGTTTGTATGTAGAAAGGAGATTTTAAGCTTTTTACACCCACGTCCCAGAATCAGATTTTGAAGACTGTGCTGTTTTTATTATGTCCTTGGATGATGCCGTGGAGACAATCAATGCTTCGCGTAAGCTTGAACCCTCATTTAGCTTGGAGCGCCATTCTTAAGGCGCTCTTCCTCTCGTAGCCTGGTCATGCGAAATTTCTTTTCTGTCTGTGGGCTTCGCTGGCTACCATAAGTGCTACCAGGTTCGCTGCTGAGACATTTGAGCCCAGGCAGGACTTGAGGTGGATCCGCTCCCTTGCGAACCGGCTGCAGGAAAAAATCGCGTGCTTGACGGTCTCCACCGTTCCGTCGTTGTACTACGTGCAATCTTCGCTGTCCTCGAGGCACCCATGACCGCTCAGGATCTGGGTCAGGAAGAAGTTCGTCTGGCCGCGCTTCCCTCCGATCTAGACATCCAGCCTGGGTATAAGCCGGTAGGTTCACCGGCCTTTCCTCGCTGTATCCCAGCGGTGTTCCTTGGATTCCAGTGTGGTCACCTTGGCTACGGTGCGCGCTGATCTTTTCTCAGAGGGTGGGAGGGCTCTAAGATGTAGCTGGTCGAATAGGCTGGCATGGCCTGGCCTGGCTGGAACAAGAGCCGCCTGATCCGACACCCTACTGTATGCACTGCTGATTCGTAGAGCTGCTAGACGATTTGTGGCATTCACTTCCCGACTATACGAGGGTTTGCTTGCGCCCACACTGGGGCAGCGTAAAAAATTATTGCCCTCGTCACGCTGGTCAGGAGCAGCTTCTTGTCTTGTTTAGGCCCTCTGTGGTTGATCATGATCCGGGACAGTGCCCTGAAGGAGGATGCCTCCTTGGTTCTGGAGTACGCCAAATGCTCGCGGAAGGTGGGCCTGGTATCCAACATTACGCCCAGGTATTTGATGGCTCTGGATGAGCTGATCAAAGAGCTACCCACCTGGATTTTGGCGACTTCAACCTTCTTCCTGCTGCTTACTAGTAACGCTTCTGTCTTCTGCGGGGCTAGCTGCAGTCCGACACTGGCTAGCCATATACCAATAACTTCGACGCAATGGTTACAGGTTACTTCTTCATTATGGAGATGTTTCTCCACCACGACCACCGCTATATCGTCGGCGAAAGCCCACTAGCTCGGAGCGTCCGAGCAGAGGAAGGCGAAGCACTCCGTCGTACATCGCATTCCAAAGCAACTGAGCAAGAACGGAGCCTTGGGGCACTCCGCAAGAGAGCTCCACCGCTTCCGCACCTTAGATGGTTTCAAACTCGAATATGCGGTTTGCGAGGTAATTGCGCATCAGCCTTAGCAGGTATGGGGCGACTCCGAAGTTGGAAAGCGCCTCCATCATGCAACTCCATCGTTTTAAAGGCATCCAGGGGTCATGGTCAGCCGTGTGGCAGAGTTTCACGAAGCATCAGGACTTGCTCGCCCGAATAGCGGCTTTGAGAGCTCTGCGACTTGACTGGTACCTTCTCCTTTTCCAGTTCCATAAAAATACCGGTTCACGGTGGCGGCTGTGGGGTCTTTTGGTTTGCATACACCCATTGCGGACCGAATGCAGAATGATGTCATCTGCCATCTGTTCGGCGTCTCCGAAGGTCTCTACAGTCTCCATTCCCGCAGCAAACAACTTGGTATCCAGGGAGTCTGCTCTGTAGCCCTGACCCGGCCGTGGTCCGTATCGAGGCTCGAGAATATCGATAAGTGGTCCCTGGCTTTATATATGTCGCTGAGCTCCCACGCGCACTTGGTGGCTCTGGAGCCGCTCACGAAAGTGAGATCGACCACTGAGCCTGCTCCAGCCCGAGTGAAAGTGTGCTGTGGGAAGGAAAGCGCTTCAGCAAGCTCAAGCTCGGTGACATGTTCATCTAGGTCGCGCACCACAAACACAGACTGGAGTTATACTGTCCGTATGGAAACCCTGTCTCCCCTGTGCCGATGTCATCCATGAGTTTTGTTGCGTCATGGTCCGGGTTTGCTATCTCCAGCAATAGGACTCCCTTTGTTGTCCTTCTTGTCGAGGAGACATTCTCGGCTTTCGCCAGGCACAGTATCTAGCTGTAAGATGACTCAGAGGACGGGGTTAAGATGAGAGCATATCTTTTCTTCCGCTTGCGGAGGGCCCGTTTGATCCTTAGCGCCACGTCCGGTGTGAGTGAGGGCAGGAGACTGCCGCCACTGGAAGTGGTCACTGGTTTGGGGCTCAGGTTGTCAGGTTTTTGGCTCTTTTTACGACCATTAGCGCCCGCCACCGCTCCGTAGGTCGGCTTCGGGGGCTTCTCCGTGGCGTGGGGGAGGCCTTTTCCGAAGAAGACCCAGTCTTTGGGCTCTTCGGGGACGATTGATAACCCTGGACCGTAGTCTCTCCGGTATTGGGGTTTGTGGTGGCGGTGATCAACCACTGCTACTGGATTGCCAGTTCGAGATCCTTGAGCTTGACGAGTTCGTTCTTCAATGCCAGATTGTTGCTTTACACATTCCTATTTGAGCCCTTTTTAAAGGCTCAGCTGCTACTGGAGCCACTTGTGGAATAGACGCTGCACGATGGCGGCTATAGCGCCCAGTCTCTGTCGCCAGAGCCCCTTTTCGGGTGCGCCGCATAGCGGAGGGGTATTGAATCTGCTGCCCCAAGTTAACGTTGTGACGTTCAGCTTTTGTCAGCCAGCATTACATTAAATGGGCTTTCTCTGCAAGTCCTGCTTGCACTTTATCAGCAGCAGGCTTGGGGTTTTCGTACTTTCCTGCACTGTCTCAAGCAGTTGACCCGTCGATCAGCTGAAGTGACAAGCTATTTCGTGTGGGCGGCCACTCGGTAAGATAAAAGTTTACGGAGGAAGAGAAAGTGGGGAAAGGGCCTCTTTAACAGAGATGACCCCACCCTTGCCGCCGAAGCGCTGGCCATCACTTGTGCATCCAATAAGCGGCGGATAACAGTCCAAGGCACCCGGACCGTAGTATGTAAGTAAGTCTGGTCGACCGTCGCACCTTTAAACACCACCGACTATCAAACCCACGGACAATTCGAGAGGATAGGGATATAGACAAGCTGTGTACATTGTGTGTAGCCATAGGGTGATCACTTCTTTGATCACCTGTAGCATGGCTGCTAATATTCCATATAGTCCCGGTGAATTAAGACCCTTAAAAGAGTCTACAGCCTATTGGATTCTATTAGAAGATATTAGATCTGTTGGGAGGTGTTCTCCCCAGTTGCTAGGTCCTGGTGATCCTCACTGCCCTCCTTCCACAGACTGTCGCCGCGGTTAAGCTGACTTCGATAACAATTTCAGTAGTCTAGCCGTTTCTAGGGTGTCTAGATATTGGGGCAGAAGGTTCTCCACGAGATTCTTTGTGCCTTCCGTATTTCCTTCTTGTAGTCCCTGAGAATGTGACTTTTTTATGTCTTACTCACATTTTACTACAGTCATGACATCCGTCCTGTAATAAGACATAAGACACATTGTATGATGAGGTCTTTAGTCGGGCAATGGTATTGGCTGAGGCAATCCATAGCTCTAGGGCCATAGCTAGGTCGATGGATCCATGCTCTATGGCAATTAGTAGTTCCGCCGACGCGTGTTTGCTTTCATGGAGGAGCTGCAGCAACCTTACTCACCTCCCGATGGGTTGACAATGACATTCACGTTACCGTTCTCCTCCTCATCCTCCGATTCTTCTAGCGTTTCTTGGGCGGCGTCTATGATGGTGTGCAGATCTAGGTCCTTCTCTACCTCGCCTGCCTGCAGGGTGTGCTCATCCTTGTCCCCGAAGTGACGGTTTTAAAGGCGCAGGAAGACAACCAATGCCACTCTCCAAATTCCCATATACAGGCTACAGGATATCCTCTTCATCTCTATTTATCTGGGAACTGCACGCTGGCCACCCTCTTTGGGTATCGGGCTTAGACCTTCCGGTCTGCTGTCGGAATGTCGGGGTTTTTGGCGCGAAAGCAGTTTAGCGCAATGGGGAAAAGTACCTTCGCCTTCGGTATTTTTTTTTTTTTTTTTTTAGGCTTTGCTGTTATTTATTGAATCTTCTCATTTATGAGACTAACAATAAGTGTATCAAATCTTACAATACTACCTAACTAGCAGTCATGAGACTGGTACAGAGTAAATGGCCCTGAATAATTATGGCTGGGTTGGATGGTCGTTACGTAGTAGGCGGCTTCTT